TTAATTAGAAGAAGATTGTAAACAGACGCACGCCTTTCTTAAGGGATTATCCATACTTTATGACAGAGCGTTTGAAGTCAGGAAGCTTTCTGAATCAGCATTGCTCAAGTGGGTCTCTTATAGGACATTGTTGTCTTCAATTATTTTCCCGTTATATATGTGTCTGTATGAAGCCAGGATATCATCTATTATTTAGAGATGCAATCGTTTCTGTTTATCAGGTCTTTTTTTAAAAAGGGGTTATCTGTATGCATCACTTTTTTGATTAAACAGAACAAAGCGTAATAAAGGAAGAAGGGCTGAAATGACTGCTCGTCTCTCCTGCTCCGTGGATTCCCGACCTTTATTGTCATTTAATGCGAGCGAATGCCGAGCGAGAAAGAGATCTGAAGAGCAGCTGGCACTGTGCTATGCTAACACACAGGGAAATGGGTTTTACACAAGTTCTGTTACACAAATACACACACATTTGTACTGAAACTTTCTCTGAAGCGCTCTCTTGCACACTATTGAACCCAGGTCTGCACAGAAGATACTTAGTCTTGCAAACAGTTTAGGCTTATGAGAGTTTCTAATACGGGTTTGTTCAGCTGCTGATTACTGCTGTGTCCCTTTAACTGAACTGGATTCAGAGGGACGCACTTTCCTGTAATTTAATTGGACATTGGATGTCAGTGTTAGTAAGTTTGATATCTGACATATGGCTGTACTTAAAGTAATAGTAAAAAAAAAAAAAAGAAGAATATTCTGGAATTATTTACTAACTTGTCATGCTAAACCTGTGTGACATAAAAGCAGAAATTTTGAATACTGTGCAAGTCGCTCTTTTCCATGCAATTGAGGTGAATGGAAAGTCTCATATAAATACATTCTAAAAGTGTATTGTGTTAATATGTAAGAATTTAAAATATATGACACGTCCCAGTGCTTTGGAGACAAACAGGCCATTATTTGAGCCCATGGTTTCCAACCAGGGTGCCGGGGCCAACTTGGGGCTCCTAGCGTGCTCATACTTACCATTGTTAAGGGAATTTTCACAGGCGAAATCCAGTCATTTTAATAGGAATCCATGCAATCTGGAATTTCACTTGAGAATGAAAAATGTTCTAATGCAGATTTTGCATCAGGTTCAGTTGGTCATAAATTTGACATGTTGACCAACATAAAGCTGCTTGGTTTGAAAGTGACTTTGATGTGAATGGACCTTTTTGGTCCATTATTTATATTTTTTTATTATCAGTTTTTTTGTTTTTTTTTCTGCAATTTTGCTAGTGTGACCGCACATTTACAGGAAGTACGTTTTTAAAGTTGAGCCATTTTCATAGCAAAAAACCTTGCAGCTTCTTTTTTCCCCTATGTTTTCTCTCTCTAATCTCAGTTATAGACACATCCACTGGTGCTTAACTGTCCTTTGGAGACTCTGCTATTGGTGATTAGTGTGGCCTTGACATAAACGGCTGGATCAATACGTGATGTAAGCAGTCGGCCAAGGTCACTTCCCCCGCCGTACGATGGCCTGGCTGGGTTCGGTCAACTCCTGGCTGATAAATTCAGGGTGACTGACCTTTGCTGACCTAGGCATTGCATATCAGACTGACCAGAGAGACTTGGGCTGTGGTGGCTGGTCACTGGACTGATTCTATAATGAAGTGTTCAGTATTGCCTTCCTGTCAGTCAGTAATTAAAGGAAGAGATATGAAGCCTTAGATAGGTGTTGAATGGACAAGCGGGTCATTGGCTACAGAATGGCAATGAACAGGCAGTGGAGCAGTAAAGTACATGTAAACTACTCTGATATGGACTGCTAATGGCTGACTGGAAGATAGATTAGATGGGCTGCCTGGGAGTGCTGTACACAACATAAACAGATCTTTAATCTATGTGACATTAAAACAATGTCCAAATAATTTATAAAAAATGTTAACATTTAAATAATTCCTAATTTAATTTAATTTAATTTTTTTTTTTACAATTAGGTTTAAATGTAGAAAATTATTTCATTATTATAAACATAATAATATCCTAAATTAGAAATATAATCAATAATATTAAAAGTTTTAGCCTGTTAAATGGCTGTAGTTTGTTAGACCTGGTCATGTGGTACACACCCATATTTAGGGCTCTCTCAGTGCAGGTGAGGGGAATCCTGGGAATCCCGGCTTCCCAGTCATCCATGCAACCAGCTGCCACCACCTGAGACCTTACACATTCCTCCGTCCACTAACTATTTAGTTGTCAGTGATTTGGTTAAGTGGAATTGACTTTTATCTTCACTGTGCTGTGGGGCTGCCACTGGCGATACACATTCCCCCATCCCTCAGCCGCCTGTCTGCTCTCAGCCCCTGTGTCACATCTAGCACATTGCTATTGGCAGCCGAGGAGCGGCTGATCAATAGCCCAGGTCAGGGATGGCCCACGGCCCTGCTGTGCTGCAGGCTGGGGTATTGATCCAGATCCACTCCGTCCCGCTGCTCCGCCCAGTGTAAGGCCACAGTCTACCCGGTGGAGAAGGTGCGAATGGGGAGGTATGGCCTGAGAGAGCACTGGATGCTTTTGTATGTAATGCACCCATGCCACTGAACTGCACTAGAAATATTTAGTGTTGTCCAACCAGTATAGTATGTTGTAATAGTTTGTCTTATTGCAGCAGACCTTTCTCATCATGTTGCAATATTGATTCATTGTATATTTAAAGGTGTAGAGCATAATTTATGTAATACTAGTGCCACCAAATAGAATTTCAAGACTGACTGTTTTCAGACAGGTTTCCCCATATACTGTATTATTGGCCAGACTAACAGATAGTCGTGCCATTTACATCACTTCCTGTCAGTCACCCTCTGCGCAGAGCAAGACATTTTTTTTTATATTTTTTTAAAGGAATTAAATAATGAAATGATTTAATGGGACTTAAGTGAATAAAGAATGGGGAGAAAAAAGAAAAAAAAAACATCATAAGAACTAGAATTTATGTTAATACATTTTTTTTAAATGTACATATATAAATTTTGATACAAAAAAACAATATTTTTATTTTAAAATATGCACACTTTCACTCTTAATACCTAATATGTTGAAAATGGCTCCATTAATGTTTCTTCTTGCTTACATTTAGTCATGAATTACATGAATCACATACATTATAGCCTATATTTTCAATTCAAAATGGCAAAATGGTTGAGTAGTTTGCATCACTGCATATTACTGTTGGTTGTTTAACATTCCTATCATAATAAAACAGATATTAAATGATCTTAAATAGCTACTTACATTGTACCTCATGCTCTTTAACCATTAAAACTGAAGTGAACCGTAATGCCAGCCTTCTTTCATTTCATGACAAGCACTGTTACAGACTTTTGAGGCACACCAGCCTAAAACTAAAACAACAAACAGAGCAGTGTCAAGAATATCAAACATTGAAGGGGACAATTTGGCCATTTCTAATTATTGACGGGTCCTCGTCCGCCTCAGTGTCTATGGTGGTCACGGCCCAGGTGTAGAGACAGACCGGCGAACGTAGATGTAAGCCGGCATCGAAAAACTTCAGACCTCCACACTCCATCCATTCACCATCCCATCTCGGAACCCCTGCCGCACCTCCTCCTCCGTCCCCTCACCAGCTTTCCTGACTCGACTGCTTGTTTTTGTTGCAGTTTTAAGTGCCTCTCCCTGGAGCTCCTCATCAACAACTTAATAAGAGCTCTTGGGAACAATTAAACAGCATCTTTAACCCTGCTCTATCCACAGAGGTAAAAATAATCATAAAAATGTTGCCAAATAGAAGAGACTCCAGGGGGACCATTCAGAAATCACAGTCTGTCTCCTTCTCTGTCCTTTATTCCCTCAACTGAAGCCCAAGCAGCACAGGCGAGAACTGTCAGAGCCATAGCCTATGATAGACACATTTACTCGGCTTTCAATCCCAGCCCCATGTGGCGTTCCCCTTTGCTTTTCCCTCCTCCTTTTTTCTCTTTCAATGTTGGAACTGACATGTGAATAAATATGTACTGTGGCTTTGTTGTTGTGTATGAGAGATCTTCCGCAGAGTGCACAATTATGCATGTTATTACAGGAATATGTCTTGTTCTGGTTATGGGGGAAATTAAGTTTCTCCGGAAATTTCAGTTTTTTTTTCTTCTTCTTCTTCTTCTTTTTTTTCATGGAGAGAAAGAGCCCCTAATGCCACAAGAGGAAAAATTACTCAAAGAAATGCATTTATTACTTAATGTAATCTGGAAAATCATAAGGTTTTGTCCTGCAGCAGTAATAAAAATAATTATATATTAATTTTCCGTTCTCTAAAACAGCTTATTACAGAATTCAAAAGACTTGATAGAAGCCATATTGTTCTGTGTCCTCCCCTCCTGAAAGAGATTTAGCCGGCTCTTTCGGAACTGACATGTGAATAAATATGTACTGTGGCTTTGTTGTTGTGTATGAGAGATCTTCCGCAGAGTGCACAATTATGCATGTTATTACAGGAATATGTCTTGTTCTGGTTATGGGGAAAATTAGGTTTCTCCGGAAATCTTCTTTTTTATGGAGAGAAAGAGTCCCTAATGCCACAAGAGGGAAAATTACTCAAAGAAATGCATTTATTGCTTAATGTAATCTGGAAAATCATAAGGTTTTGTCCTGCAGCAGTAATAAAAATAATTATATATTAATTTTCCATTCTCTAAAACAGCTTATTACAGAATTCAAAAGACTTGATAGAAGCCATATTGTTCTGTGTCCTCCCCTCCTGAAAGAGATTTAGCCGGCTCTTTCTCAGGGGCAACGAGTAAGCAAAGCGAAAAATCTGCAATCACTTATGGAGCATAACTAACAATGGCCTCACCTCCTCTCAGCTCTGCTTTATAAAAGGCAAAGTGTGTGTTTGTACATTTCTTTGAGAATCTATTAAATGTGTTTCTTGTTTCATCCTTTGTTCGGTTGCATGAAAGAACTTTTGCTGTAAATGCTAATAGCATGGTTTTTTTTTTTCTTATCCCTAGGTGGCGCCATCACTTCGAAAGGCTTTTCCACCGACTGTGGATGCTTCAAACCAAATCTCATAACCGGGTCTCGTAGCTTTGAAAAAACCTGGAAATACCTGGAATTATAGGACTACATTATCCCAAGCCCTTGCCAAGGGACCTACTAATGGTGCCCAGGCACTGGATCTGAAAGCTTTACATTCCTCTTTACTTTTGAATATACCAACAGACCAAAAAAAAACAACAACAAAAACTATAGCTTTAGAACTAGCGATAGATTACGGCCATCCGCCTGCCATTGCACCAAACCTGCTGTGACCGCAAGGGTTGTGACCTTTCTGGCGCCCACTTCAAACGGACACTTGAAAAGAAGGACGCAGTCAGAGAGGGCTTCCGAGCGGTGGCAACTGAAACCAAAAACCCCATCAGGTAAGGCTGTGAAGTCACTTCTTTTCCTGCTGGCAACACCCCCAAAGCTCCTCGGGGGCTTTTGAAGCCCAGATGGACTCCCTGCGTCCACACCCACATAGGCGGCTTCTCCTCCATGCTGGGCCTACAGGAGAGCCCACTGTAGATAAAGGCTTCCCGGGTTTGAAGACTCAATCACCTGTCTGCTGCTGTAGGATTAGAGGGAATGTGTGCTGATTGGATTTGTTTGGCTCAAAGATGCTTAGGTGCAGGGAAATCCTGTAAAGCGACTGAGAAGGAGATAGATAGATTGACTGACAGAAAAGAAAGAGTGTACAGATATACAGATACATGTTATCATTGCATATTTTCATCTACATAATGCAAGTTAGTCTGTGCTGCAGACATTGAGTTCAATAAAAGTTCAACTAAGTCAATAGCACTTGATTACCACAAAAAAATAATTTTGACTTGTCTTTCCTTTTCTTAAACAACTTAATATATAAAAAAATACAAACAAGACAATATATGTAAGATTATTTTAATGTAAAAAAAATTGTTTACTAACCTATTCTGTATATCTAATTTTGCAACTTCATTACAAAAATCATAAATGCTTAAAATCATAAAATGACCATAAAATGGTTTTGACACAGGTTTTGACAGGATAATTAATGTAACTGTTTTTATAAACTTCCACATTTCTGCTTTTAAAATCTTTCAGAAATTGGCCCCATTTAGTTCCATTGAAAGTGCCTCACTGTAACTTTTTTTTTTTTAAAGAAAACCAGAGACGAGTTGAAATTACTTTTTGCAGTAATCAACATAATGCCAAAAATGCGGTCGATTGAACTTAACTTGTATTAACCCAGAATATTCTTTTAATGCTTGTTCCTAAGCATGAGAGTCATTTTTGTACGTCTATGATGAGAGATGCGTTATGAACAAATTTCTCACCTTGAGTACGAATACTGATTTAGTTTTTAGTGTTCCTCTGACCATTTCACCTGCGGTCGTTGCCTTATGGAGCTTTTTATGTCTGATCTGACTCTTAAAAAAGACTTTCATTGGGGTATTTGGTGATGATTAAATTATTTCTTTGATTTGAATAAAATCAGTTTGTTTAAACATTTTCACATGGAGTACATTTTAGGTTAATTCTATAAACATTTTACAGTGTAGTTACAAAACAGCCACACAGTGCTGCCCCGGTGACTAGCATAATCGCGTGTAAATGTTAAGCAGTGATATTTTTGTTTTGCTAACATGACAGACACACATGCTCTTTAGCTGTTCAAAATTATGGTATTCGCTGCTCTCGGTGTAACCCTGAATGAAAGTGAATAGTGTTTATAGAATTAAGCATTTAAAAAGAAAAACAGACAGCCAAGGAGGTAGAACGCAAGACACTTTGGGGATCAGCCAGGTTCCGAGAAGAGAGCAGGGCCTTTGTTTGAAAAGTTCAAAGTAATTTTGCCAAATTTAGGTCATGCCACATTAGTACTCAGTGGGGAGCTGTCATTTGTGGGGAAAGAGAAAGCAAATAAATAAATAACAAAGCAGATTGTGCATCTTGCTCATAAAAAAAAAAAAACATAAATAAATACAACACTTCAAAGCATTGAGCAAAAAAATCCATCTCTGTTAAACTAATTAGCGACTCCGAAATGGGCTCTTGTGAAGGGCTACGTCAAAGGTATAAGGTTTGAGGGGTCATGCACGCTCACAACAGGACAAATGTAAGTCAGCAGAAGTCATAAGCGGTGAACGCCCCCATCAGGAGAGCAAATCTCCCCCCTCATTCTCTCCACCCATCCTCCCCTCCATCCGAGAACGCTAATGGAACAGTGCTCTTAGCCCAGGGCTCCAGCACCAGACCCCGCTCTGCATGAGGGATGTAGTGCACAGCGGCCGGGGGTCGCTCCCTTTGAGCCGGCCTTCCTTGGCCTCACGGTAAAAAGAGCCATGCATGATTTCATACATGAAAGATATATGTAATTGGACAGCAGCAATGCCTATACGCCATATTTACAATTCTAAACAGAAGATGGGAGAAGCAATTCCCTTTATCTCTCTTGGTCATAGTCTCTTTCTCTGTGAGGAACGAATTTCTGCATATCGCAGAGCCCATGATGTACAAAAATACATGAAATGCAGATTATCATACTTCTTATTTACTTTCATTATGGATGAGTTGAATGTGTCATTTTGACACAGCCAAGCGTCGCCTCGGTGTCCTGTCTCGTTGCTAGATCGCTTGGACAAAAATAGAGGAATTATTCCCACTGATGCTGTTGTCCAGTTCCTGAAAGGGACGTCCCGATGCTTTGTTTATCCGTTGAGAGATAGCGAATGCATTTGTGTGTTTGTGGCCTTCATAATGCATCTTTAATAATGCAGTGTAATGGACATATTTGAGTTATGAATAAGAATTTGGATTTTGCAAGACTAAATGGTTCGATTTAATGCTGGGGAACATAATTTATTTCGAAGTTCGCTTTTGATTTCATGCGGCAGAATCTGCTTTATGTGACATCTGACGTGTCTGTGTGGGTTGTGTTGGGGACACACACAGTCGTGTTGTTTTGGTGGGGTCCCTCCTGGAGTGTTAATGTAGTGCCAAGTTAAACACCTCTCTTGTTAATTGTCCTAACGAGCTCATGCTTTGCCGTGAACGGCTTTTTTAATGGCTTGTTTTATGGGCGTGTGGAGCTCCAAGGCCAGACGGGGTCTCCGCCGACCCTTACAGGGGCAGCGTTCATGTGTTACTGGCTGTGATGCACAGCTTGTCCCCCTTTTAACGTCAACCCTACCCCCACCTCTGAATTTTGCAGAAGCCCACCTGCCTCTGAGTCCTGGAGGTCACAGGGACGGGGGAAATGTTGGGGTTAAGCACCGTGCAGCTATGTTCCAGCCACCGTGGTCACTTGCAATTATACCCCTGCAGCTACATCACCCACAAGTTGCAGGTTTTAAGCTTTGGCAGAATTTGCTGGTCCATGTTGCTCCATTGGCCTTTTCCTTGTTCCTTAATTCCTCATTTTAATTCATATTCGTGTAATTACTTTCACATTAAATTTATGAATTATGATGCTAAACACAATATGTATTTATTTTTTTAAGTTTTTTTCATGTTCAACATAATTAGTGACACTTATTTTTAATCATTTTAAATCACTAGTGCGTTCTTTTTTCTTTTACATAAAACATCAATTTCAGACCATCTTAAACTATTGTTATGAATAATTTATTAATATATTTATTACATTTATAGATTAATATCAAATATGGTGTTATAATACAGTACACAATTTTCTTGTTTGTATGTGCATGCTTTGTCTGTCTCATTTTACTTTTCAGTGATTCAGACTTCACACATTTGTATATAATTATCTTCATATTCAGAATTGCTTAATTAAATATTTAATTTACATATTTAAGTATTTTACACATAATTACTTAAATATCATTTACAAGATATTTGGCAGCATAACTGTTGAAATATATAGTATTTGTTTGAAGTCCAGAACACACACACACAGACACACACACACACACACACACACACACACACACACACACGAGAAAATTAAACAAGACTGCATGGAAGAATATGTTGCTGGGTTTGTTCTTTCATTTGTCTTTGAAAATATTTGTCAACAAAATGTCATCTGTCTAATTTTTAAGCTAACTATTCATGACATTTGGGTCATGAAATCACCCTATTTCTCGGTTGGAAACTCGGGGTCTCCGCATTGAGATTAAATGATTTCTTGAGCAAAGCTTTGCACATAATCCTGCCATATATGTCAGATGATATAAATGGGGAAGGATTTGCACGGTGACCCTTGGCGGGAGCCCTACGTCTCTGTTGCCCTTCTGTGGCTGCTTCCACCTGCTATACATGAAACTTATGAGCCAGATGTGGATATATACAGGCGTATATGCGCTTTGCTAAAAAATAAATAAATAAATAATAATAATACATAAATATGTGTATTATATTATTTCATGGACAGGGGGCCATATTTGTTTATTATTATGTTTCGTAGGAGCTGGAATTGTTAAGGGCTTAATATTGTATGAATGTAGTGAAAGCGCAGAATTATTCATTTCAAATGGAGGTACAGGCCTGAAATGCGCACATTGCATTGCATCTATATATTGCATGTTGATGTCGAGATGCGGGAAGACAATCTTCACTTTTCTGCTTTTTTTTTTTCTTGATTCTTGAAATCTGCTTTAGATCATTTTGTTGCAGTGCATTTCAAACTGGACAGTCGTTTTATTTCAGCCTGCGTTATTCTCTTACCTGCACAAAGCTAAAATGGAGGTTGCAGAGAATCGGCGGTGTGAGGATGAGCTGCTTTGCAGTTGTAGCTCCTCTGGACGCAGATTTGCTCCAGGCTGCTTTTCTTTCTGATTGTTGCACGACCGTGAACAGATGCATTTGTACTGCTTAACCGCACAGACAGTGAATATGATCTGTTCCTGGATTTTTAAACGTGTATTTGAATGTGCTTCTGCTGTTTTCTTTAAGCTTATGCATTTACTGAGCAACATAAATGACTGTATATGTGAATGTGTGGACGTATTGCTCGTGTTGTTCTGAATTTTGCAAACAAAATACCGAAGTAGATTTTAGATTAAAGTAATAATTGATAAGATGATCGGTGATGCACACAAATACACACACAGACACACTCTCACTGACGCACGCAGGTGATACACTGATATTATTCGATGAACACATTCACGTGTTCGGTTTTTTTTTCTCAGTATTTATAAAGGGTTATAATCAAATCATGTTTTTAAATATTTTCCAATTGTATTATCCATTTCATACATCTAGACCTTTTTAGGCTGCTGAACAGGTTTCGACTGAAACCGAGCTTAATAACACCATATACATAATTTTACCAATCTGTATGCAGATACGCTGTTTTTGAATATCTTGTGCAGAGGTTCGTTTTTTATTTATTTATTTAACTTATCGTTTTTATTTCATAATTTATTTAGCT